TTATTCTACTAATCGTTTTTCTTCCTGAACATAAATTACACATTTCTATTTTAGCATGTTTTATTTTCTGTAACTGAAGAGCTTATGTAATACTTTATGGCAACTCTGAATTCTTACTGTACCCCTAAATGTTGTTCTTAATTTTAATAACTTGCTAAATTTATTAAATCTGCCTTTCCCTGTATCCCCAGTGATGTCTTTGCTCACTTTCTGTTTTTTTTTTCCCCCAAAATATTGCTTTAAGTCTAGCATTTTACAGACTATCCTATATTTGCACAGATTAATGATCAGCCAAGGGTGAGGAAGATGCAAATATCCCAGGCTAATGGACCCACATGTGAGCAGCAGGAACACATTCAAACTTTAGGCTTTTTAAGTCTGTCTAGCTCTTACTTTTCAGAATCTCTCCCATTCCTTTTTTTTTTTTTTTTTTGGTCACCTACAAAAAGTGCACCATCTCAAGAACCACAAGAAATATGTGAATACAGGGCCCTCTCCTCTCTATGTTGCCTATATGTGGCCTCACCCAGGAATATAATTACCCCAGTCACACCATTAGTTCAGGATGATGGAGCAGTTAGCCACCCCATTCTTCTGTCACCAAGAATACCATTTTTACCAGCAATGCTGTTGAGTGTGGGCGCTGCCCACTGCTCCAGGTTAGTGAGCACTCAAATGACAACACAGCAGCCCACCCCTGTGCAAAATGAGCTGGAGTGGAGGAGGAGAATGACAGCTTCCAGGCAAGCACACCACAGACTCCTGCTGTTACCCAAACTTTGGGGCAAGAGAAGAGGGAAGAGGCAACAAAATTTAACATACACAGGTATTCCTGGAGCCACAGGATCTCATTTGCAACTTCAGAGTGTTCCTGAAAATCCGTTTTCTAAAGACAACTTTAAAAAGCAATGAGCTCTGGTTACAAACTCATGGAACTGAAATGTCTATCTATAATATGTCACTGGACACTTGAAGCTTGGGATAAATATCCACAGATAGCACAATGCCGAGAAACAAAAACTATTTTATTTTTTTTTAGTTTTCTGCAATTGGGTCTTACTCTAATCCAGGCTGGCCTCAACTGAGGCTCCTACCTCAGCCTCCTGAGTGCTGGGATTACAGGCAGGAACCACCATGCCTGGCTACTATTGTATTTCAAATGAACTACAGTGAAGATGATGCTCTATGAAAATCACATGAAGATAATTTAAGTAATGCTGGATAAGGTGGCACACACCTGTAATTTTGGCAGTTAGGAGGCAGAGGCAGGAAGACTTCACGGGTTCAAGGCTAGTCTAGACTACACAGTGAGTTCACTGTTTTGTTTTTATTTGTTTGTTTGCTTTGAGACAGGCTCTCACTATGTAGGTTCAGCCAAGCCTTGAACTCATTTTGTATTTGAGGCTGGCCTTGAATTCATGGCAATTTTCCTGCCTCAGCCTCCTGAGTATTGGGATTACAGGCATGTGCCACCATGCCCACTTTACAAAATGAGTTCAAAGCCAGCCGGAATACACAGGAAACGCTTTTCTCAAAAAAAGAAAAAAAAATGATAATTAGCTAATAAGAAAGATCAGCATAACATCAAAACATGCACATTAGATGTATCCATACTTAAAATAAATCAAGATCAAGTTAAAGGAAATAAGATTGGGTGCTTAAAAATTAACATTTTCCATGGTTAAGTTCAATAAGAACTTAGGCCTGCTGACAAATTATGTAGGACTAGTAGCCTAAATGTGCTATAAGAATAACATGGAACAGGTAATAAAAGGTGCCCTTCAGCCGTGAGCACAAAGACGCAATTTTGTAAGCCTAAACCACTTTTCCCTGGAACTCAGACTGACACTTTCTTTACTCTTAGACAGCTTGAGTGGGAGTTAATCTCCCATTGGCAGCTACAAAAGAACTATATGATGTAGAAGCAAACCACTTTCCTTCTGTCCCAGGTGTTCTCTCTACCTTCATGTGTGTGCGTGTGTGTGAGGCAGGGACAGGAAATAGCACAGAATTAACAGGTTTCCAAATAGGAAAGAAAGTAGGATCCATAAGTAAATTTTTTCTTTTGATTCTGGAGTCTGTTATCCAATTTCTCTGTAGATCTAGAAGAAAGATGTTCATTTCCCTCTAAGGGAAATAAATCGGTAGCTTCCTCTCAGACATCTCCCCATGTCCTAATATAAACAGGTGTGTGATGCAAGATTTCAGCAAACACACATACAGATATGTACACATACACATAAACCCTCTCCCAGTCATCTCTCTGGTCTCTTTGTCCACATGAGAAAACTGAGACAGAGAGATCTTCAGTGCCCATCTGTGAAGCTTTGGCAAAGTCAAGAGAAGATCTCGCATCTTCCAATTCCCATTCCATCATTCACTCCATTCCATTCCATCATTCTTTTTTCTTTCCATTCCATCATTCTGATAAATCATTCTTTCAAGGCTTCAGTCTGAGTGACAACAGCTGCCTTCTTCAACAACCCTCTCTACTAGCCAAAAAACCCAAACCAAAACAAAAAAGCTCACAAAAAATCCAGCTGAATGGACTTCTGCCATTCAAACTTCCTCCCTCCGATCCTCTAACATTTGATACAGGAGATGAGGTTCTCAGAAGGGCATGTAGCTAGGCCTGGTGAGTAAGGTCGTCTGCCAGCCTGCCTTTATTTTTCCCTTCATATCCTAACAGTAGGACTTATTTCTGTTCATCCCAAAAGGCAAGGTAAGTGTCACTATCCCTAATCCATCTGATCTTTCACCCCAAACTTGCTTAGTTGACATATGCACAGCTGGCTACCCATGCACAGTATGACTTGAGCCCAACACTGCAGAATATTGGTTGGAAGTGCTGAATAAATGTTTAGTCAAAACTAAATCTCTAGGAATACACACACAATTTATTTGGTCTGAATACAAAAAAAAAATCAAACCTAATCATCAAACATCCTGGATTCTTTCTCCCACTTTTCAATGAGATGACTTAGATTGAATAGGCTAGCAAAGAATGAATATGTTTCACATCTTTCTTGGGACAGAATCCTGTTGGAAAAAAAAATTCATACCATGATTCAAGCCCCCTTTTCTACTCTTCATCCTCACCTCTGGACATGAGAAAACTCCATAAACTCCATAACCCATTGATTTAGGTAAGCTAAAAGTTTTCTCCAAAGCATTAGACATCAAGGGTATAAGAGACGGAGCAGTTTCTAACATATTGGATGTGCAGTAATAATATCTGGTGGATAATAATAATATTAGCCACAAATGAAGACTGAAGACAGAAAACAGAATTCAGGTCTATAAACATAACCATAAAAAGTAAATACATACAACTAGGGGACAAAGAATCATAACTACGTCTGGGAAAAGTTTCATTTTAAATCAGAAATCAGACATGAAAGGTCAGGCATATTTTAGCCCTAACAATATAAACCATTCTGAGGTATTCATGTTAATATAGGAAATATAAGAGAGAACTGGGATAAGCCTCATTCCTGGCACAGATCAAAAGGGAGCAAACTAGTAACAAAAATCTTTCTAGCTAAGAATCTAGGTAAAAATACTAAATACCAAAAGCATGTTAAACTACCCATCAACAAAGGATGAAAGTGACAGCAACCATGTCCCTTGAACTGAAGAAAATAAGCTTACAGTCTTCTTGAGCCTGCTAATGGGCAAGAAGTGCTTCCAGGGAAAACCACCCTAAGGAACGTGTACCACTTGCCCTAGCAAGGAAAGTTACTTAAGTGAATGTCTTGGTTTCTTGTAAAAACAAGTTAGCTTATAGATCATGTAGGATTATTGTAACCATGAGGTGAGAGAATTTATAAGAATGTCCCTAAAACAATCCTATTAAAGACATTTTATTTCTGTAAAGACAACCCAAGTTATTGTTATTACAGTGGAAGACAGGGCTAATTTTTAAGGTTTTCTTATTTGTTTGTGCCATGATAAAAAAGAGTCGCCACAATAAAGAGCTTTGTTATAGCTGGTTTCTAGATGTTTCCTAAAGCCTCATGTAGTTATTGGTGGGTTTTTTCAGAGATGGCTGGATCTACAGTATGTGATGCTGGAATTAAGGATGTGATGCTGGGATTCACAGCACAATGCAAAGATTAAGACTGCCCCATCCTGGAGATAGCATAAATGAAAGAAAGAGAGTCATGGCTTGCTTGTTCCTTGTTGGCCCCTCTTCTATGCCATCCTACTGTGAAGCCAGCCAACTGTGAACTAAAACCTCTACAAACTTTGAGCTAAATAAACCTTTTTTCATTTAAATTTGGGTGTCAGGTATTTTGTCTGAGCAACAAGAGAAAAAGTAAGACAAACCTGTCAAACTTTGTTGTAAAATTGAACATTACAGTTATTACAGATGTAAACTAGTCATAGTATTGTACAAATATGAGCATAAAGTATTAAAAATGTGTCTTTCTGTGTTTTCATATAGCAAAATTTTCTATGTGCTCCTTTTCAGACATGGTATTTCCACCAGCTAAAACTGCAGCTCCAAATTACATGATAATATAGCTCAAGGTCACTACCAGTTCAGATGATCAAACCTAAAAAATACTGTTCTCCTATCAGAGACCCTGAAGACTGCTCTACTGGGATTAAAATGCTTTGCAAAGAATTACAACACGAGAACCTCAAGAAATCTTAATTTATAAAAGGTCACAGCATCACAAAAAACATCTCTCATTTCAACTAATTAAATGAAATTTTAGTTAAATGGCACCTTTAAGTATTGGTATTGCAGCTGCGAGTGAATTTAAATAGCATTTACACAGATATAATTAGCACAATTAAACATGGGTAGAAGTAGAAACACCATTCTTAATTATATTGATATAATCAGATTTATTAATGCTTTATAGCAACAAAAATGACATCTGACAGTAGCACACAATTCATGACTGAACCTAATATTAAGCATTTTAGCATATTAAGGATTCTAAAGCGAGGTAATTAGAGAAAGAAAGAAGTCAAATATGAATTCCTACCTGTGACAATACCATAGTTGGGAGGTTCAAGAATTACTCCATAAAACTGGATGATGTTTCTGTGACTCAGGACACTGAGTATTTCTGCCTGTACAAAAATAAAATGCAAAATTGCATAAAACTTCATATTTATAATAATCTAATAAAACATAATACACTCAACTTTTCTTCAATTACATTGAAAAGAAGTATGTTATGGTTTGTGTCTAGATCTCCCCCTGAAGTCTCATGCAGTTTTAGAAGGGGCTTTTCTGCAGGTGGCTGAATCTGGATGTGTGATTCATTTATAGTGCAATTCTAGGATTAAGAATGTTGGCATTAAGGGTGGGTGATTGCTGGATCAGTTCATTGACTGGATTGACACCAATCTAATCCCAGTAGACTAGGTATAAGAGACTTATCTCATTCCCTTTTCTTGTTGCTTTTGTTGTCTTCCACCACCATGAACTGGTGCCCCCTCTGCTATGTACCACTGAACTTTGCAGTCAACTGATACAGACTAAAACCTCGACAACATGTGAGCTAAATAAACCATTCCTCTTACAACCTTAGGTGTTGGGTATTTTGTCTCAGTAACAAGAGAAAAGTAACTAATACTATAAATCTCTTTAGGAAGCTGCAGCAAGTCTTAACTTATGTCAGCTCGATGAGTCAAAATTAAGGTAGAGGTTTCAAATATTTTTTTAATAAATTCAGATAATACCATTTGTATTACTTATGTAATAATTCACTCAAAATATATTACTCTTGTCTTTCATGCAAGATGCTATAAACATGTAAGGTGAGCTGACTTTCATTAGTGATCTGAGAGGGCTTGCACACCCTGAAAGATATTAACACTAGAAAACTACTACAGTGGCATAGCAAAAATAAGTAATATTTATTAAACTTAATTTTTAAAATGAAAAAAACATACTACAGTCTATAGAAGGATATTCTAGATAAATCACATACATTTATCACAATTTCATTTGTTTTATGGAGATAAAATGGCTAATCAATAATTATAAAGAAGTATTAAATCATGTAAATTAAATATAGAAAAGATTCAGTGGTTTTAGTGAAAGGTATAACTGGTAGTAAAAAACTTGAGAGCCCCCCACACCAGAAAGAGTATCATCAAGAAGAATGTCAATAATTAATGGAGAAGTCAACATCTGAAATGGGACTCCCCTTTGGCGATATACACATTATCCATTATTACTTGCTATATATTTTTCCATAGAGTGGAGTTGAGGTTTCGTTAAAAATACATTCTGTAAAGCTAGTTTTGAAGATGATGAAACTAGATAGGAAACAGAGGTCTGAGGGTTGGCACAGGGCTAACACAGATTCATGAGAAAGAAAAATCATCATTGATGAGAGGAGACACTTATGAGGGTTAATTTGACAGTGTTTTTCTCCTAGTAAAACAGATGCTTAAGGGGGCTCTCACTGTTTAGCCAAAAGATTCCTTAACATCCTTGGAGTGTTTTGTGTTCACAAGCAATCTTCTCAAAGCTGAGTTTCCCAAGCAAGAAGAAAATTTATTAATTAGCCTATGCAACTATTCATCTGATGGAAATTCCAACTCTCACTATGAAATAATAAAGGAACATCATTATAAAATAAAGTTTATGTGAAGCTTGGAAATCACAAGTTGCTCTATTTTTAAGTGGCAGAACAACTCTCTGTGAACAAAGCTTTAGAGTTCAATGTGAGTAAAGCAGAAGAGCTCATGTTTGCACCAGTATTTGTCAAAAAGGGAGAGTGTTATCTTTCAGTATATTCTTCAGGGTGTCTGAATTTTTTGGTCATTAAAGTATTTTACACCAATAAAAAATACATATAAGAATATCTGAATTTGGGCCAGGGATTTAGCTCAGCAGCCTAAGCACCTGCCTGGCAAGTGCAAGTTTGCAAGTTCAATCCCTGATAGCAAAAAAAAAAAAAAAAAAAAAAAAAAAGAATATCTGAATCCTCGGATGACCATTTTATACATTAGTATGATGGAATTTTCAGTGTTTCCAGCAGCTTTCATGTTTACACTGATGACACTGTCAAGTGACCCTTAAAAGGATTCATCTTTTAAGGAGTTGGTTAGCATGTTTAGCAGCTCTTGGGCAGGCAACTGCAAATGGCAAAGTAACAACCAACATCCTGCATCCCACTGCTGAGCTCATATTTTAATTTTTTACAATTATGAGGACAGAACCACTCTTTTGCAATGTTTCCTGGAATAAAATTTTAGGTTCTTATATCATAAACTAAGAATCTGATTTAACAACATCAAAACAACTTTGACTTTAAGACTGCTGTACTAGTTTTACGGAAATGGGCCACCTCAAAACAGGCAGACAAAAGTAAATGATATGTCTTAGTTTCATGTTTGAGCATATTTAACTTACAATGAAATAATTTTAGTCAACAAGTAAAATAAAAAAACAATGCAAAATGTTATTCTAGTGTTTTAAACACTTGTAACCAGTGTTCACCTAGTATTGTTCACAATAGTTAAAAGGTAGAAAAATTCAAGTATTTGTCCTCTGATGAAAGATTAAACCAACTGAGGTATATAAACACATGGAATATTATTTCAGCCAGGAACAAATTAAGTTGAATCTTGAAAATATTACATTGAGTAAAACAAGCCAGACACAAAAGGCCAAATACTGAATGACTCCACATATGTGAATAAATAAATTCAGAATATTTATATTCTGTGCCAGGGGCTTGACAGACAAGGGAAAATGGGGAATCATTACTTAAGGGTTACAAAGTTTCTGTTTGGGATGATGAAACAATTTGAAAACAGATGATAATGATAGTTGTACAACACTGCATACAATTAAAAACAATTATATAACAAAATGTAGTTAAAATGGCAAAGTTTATACTATCTATATTTCACCACAATAATCAAGTTAAAAGATGCTATTCTAGACTTCCGCGGAGATGAGTGATCAGAGTCTGTTAAGACTCTAGATACCCCCCCCAAAGCCTCATGCACTCACAGGTGCAGCATTTTGGAGCTGATTGCATATAGATGTGTGACATTAGGACATAGGTGTGTGGTACTCAATTTACTCACTGACTGGAATTAGCATAATTCTAAGTCATACAACCCAAAAAGCTGGTACCCCAGATGGGATAATAAGGAAAAGTAGGTTTGCTGCTGCTTGCTACATTCTGCCTGCTACACCATAAACTGTTTCTCCTCTGCCACAGCTCTCTACCATGCCTTGGAGCCATCCAACTATGGACTGTAACCTCTAAAAATCTGAGCCAAAATAATTCTTTCCTCCTTTAACTTGTGGATGTTGGATATTTTTCTCAGCAAGGAGAAAAGTAACAAAGACAGTATACAATCATCCTAAAGTTATACAATGTAAGACCTAAATATCCTTGAGATACATGTATAGTTTTCTAGTTTAGGACGTAAGGGACTAAGGAGGAGTTGGAACAGACTATAATAATTTTAACTCAAGATCTAAAATGCTCCATAAAACAGGGGTCACAGTCTGGTATATAAATGGAGTAGTCAAAAATCTATCTATGAAAATGTCTAAGAGGAATGTTCTTTTTAAGAAACGTTTATTTTAAAGAGAAAAAGAAAACTTCAAAACAAGGTAATAGAGTAACAACAGTTAATATACTGTGTTGTTATATTTAAATTAATTAGACTACAAAATATAAGCATTTAATTGCTCAAACTATATTAGCACAAACCTTTCTAGACTAAGAGAACTAAGAGAAATTATTAGTGTAACTATATTAACTATCTTGTGTGTGTATATTAACTATCTTGTATATGTGTGTGTGTGTGTTTTTTCTTCTTTTTTCCCTTCCTTCTTTTCTCCTTCCCCCATTCCAGTTTCTCTTTAACAGGAATGTCCTTAACACAATATAAAAAGTCTACATATTGTGTTTGCAATGAATTATGTGTCTGCTCTTACTGTTTACAGCTTGAGGTCAGGTCCTTCTGCCCTTCTCCCTCCCTTCTTTCATCCTTCTTAACAGCAAAAATTACAGTCATTTTACTTTGTTTTATAAGTATGGGTAAGAGGTGGATATTTTTATGTTAGTTTTATTTTATCTGGCATTTCTGTAAGTGTGTGTGGGGGGAGATGAGCTATTAGCTCAATTTGCTGTGCTTCCAGGAGTTGACCAGCACACAGGCTCCAAACAACTGATTCCACCAGAGATATTAAGAGAAGCTAACTGTCATAGTTTTAATTCTCTTCCTTTGAAGTACTTTCAACAGTTTAAAATAAGATTTTGAATAAATTAATGTTTTTCTATCTTCTGAGTGATTCTTCTTAATTAAAAACCTGTTTTTCAATGAATTCCAAATTTAAACCTGTTTTTTAATTTTGGAAAGCTACTATAGAAGTCTTAAAGATTCTGTCTCTAAAGCTCTACATAGTCCATTGATACAGTTTATAAGCATTTACATGTGATAAATACATTAAAAATACAAACAAACTTTGAGAAATACAGCAGATACTGGCAGCAATCTGCTGATGGTCGAAGAATGAAAACAACCGTGTAAGAATCCGTATCATAAAGCTGACAAGCTTCCCTCTTGCATTTGGAAGAGGCCGTGCTCCTGGGGGTAACCAGGTACCGCTCTCCACCAGATACTACTCTCCCCCACTCTTGTGTGACAGTGGGTTCTCCACTTCCACTTGTGATGTGGCACTGATACAGGGTTCATTCATACTGCCTGTGACTGTCAACTGCTCTTCCGGTCCTCAGGTGTACATGGTATTTAAACACACTACTCCACCGACCCTGACCTCTGAGGTCCTCACCAATTAGAGCCTGTGATTCCCTCCAAGTATGACAGTAACAGAAAAAGTCATTCAGCTGACTACAGTCTCCTCACTGCAATTATACCCAAGGTCAACGTTCTCTCCAAAGACAGCTGTATCTCCAATATCCAATATAGTATCAGGTCACTTTATTCCCACAAAGCTCAAGAAGATTTAAGATGGTCCTACTTTTTAAAAAATAATAAAATGATATGTACAGAAGAAACAATGGGAAGAAATAAAACATTAATTATGGTTATTCATCTCAGCAAAATGTCTTGTGTTATTTTATTTC